TATATAGGCTCATTATTCAATAGTAAACCCACAATTCCATTCTTCCACACTTTCTTTCCCTCTTTGGTATCAAAGCTTGAATTACCTTAACAATTCCAAGTCTTTCAAGCACATTAGCCATGATAAATACCCAGAAACAACCTCCCCGTATTAGCCATGATAAATACCCAGAAACAACCTCCCCGTATTAGCCATGATAAATACCCAAGAAACAACCTCCTTCGCGACTCCAACCCTTATTGCAGCTTAAATTGTCCCTACTGCAGACGACTCTGCTTTGCTCTCTATCAATGCCTCTTCTTAGTTGCTTTTTTAATCCTTACAATTGTCGTGCCTGGCGTGCTCAATTAATTACACTATTATTTGGCATAGATCCTCTTGGCTAAACAGATGGAACCACTGAATACCCACCGATTGTCACTCAGAATTCGTAGCTTGTCTCTAATCCTGGCTATGTCGTCTAGCAATGGCAAGATCTTCTTCTTCATGCCATTTTGGCATTTGTTTCAGAAGGTTTTATTTCTTTCATTGCAATAGTCCATCCTCTTGTGAGGCTTGGTTGAAGCTTGAGCGGCTGTTTGCAAGCAATTCCAGTTCTCAGGTAATGCATTTGAAGAAGAAACTTACCCTACTCAAAGGCTCCAAAAATCTTGATGATTAGCTTCAATCCATATGAGCAACAGCCAATGAACTGGCATTGGTTGATGCTCCAATGTCCAATGATGATCAAACTACTTACATTTTGAATGATGTTGGTTGTGAGAATAAAGATATTGTTGCAGCAATCAAAACTCTTGAATCCTTCGTCACGTTTGAAGAGCTTCATGAAAAGCTCATTGAATACAAATAGTTCCTGTCTAGGGTCAAACAACTCCATTTTTTTGGTGGCATTGCCATATCTGCCACCATATGCCTCTAGTCTTCTACCGCTACTACTTTTAAAGATGAGTTGGGCTCTTCTGACTCTTGGTACTACTGCCACAACTGCTCAACTTGCACCTCCTATCCACATCCGTACCTCTTGCTCGCACCCTATTGTCACACATTTACAAATTACATCTCCAAACCTAAGTTCATTAAAAGTCTCAACCAACCTCCACCACCCTAGTCCCTTGAGTCTACCAAGATTTTGCAAGCTCTCCATAATCTCCAGTGGAGACAGACTCACAGAACAATTCAATGTTCTCATCCACAATGGTAGACGAGAATTGGTAGAATTTCCTCCAAATTGCAGTGTCACTGGTTTTAAATGGGTCTTGCAGATAAATCAAAACCCATATGGCTCCTGCTCCACCTCAAAGCCAATGTGGTTTTTAACAGCTTCCATCAACACGTAGGAGGTAAGCACACTGAAATATTTCGCCTCATCAACAAAACACCAATTGCTGCCACTGGTTATTTCCATGTGGATTGATCATTTTCTATCGGCAATGCCACTGACCACCACAGCATTCTTGTGTCTTTTTGGTACTTATCCTTCACATACCCTATTGCATTCCCCGTGAACAATATATGCACCATCCAATTGCATGGGCTACCCTGAAGCACC